TTAATTACTTATTAATTAAACTTTCTTCCATTACAAGTTTATTGCATGTTTTTTTAATCCACACTTTTCAAGTTTGTATTTATCTATATATTTAATATAAAATTAAAATTTGGCTAATCTTTAATGAAAGAAAAGTCAGGAGAACTGTTGGTAGATATTGTGTCACAATTTTTGGTCATTAATTTTGGGGTTGACATGCATATATCTATTCTAGAATATGTCAATGTATGCTAGTTGTCATAATAATTTATTTAGTTATTTATTTCTCTTCATTTTGACCAACCATAATTTATTTATTTATTTAATTACATGGCTCATATATTTTTATTTTTTACGTAATTAAATCTTCACACACTGCTAGTTTCAGTGCAAATACTATATATAACAAAGGAAGTATGTATTTTTAGGTTTGGAAGACTGTAAATTAAGGAGTTTATTGCAATTAGTACCCATATTTTGGGGGTTGTGTGCGAAAAAATTTTTAATCATAAGAGTGATTTTGCCAATAAAATAACATAAGTAGTCTTTTATAGCAATTAGATACAAAGAGAGGGGTACTAATTGCAATAAAGGCATAAATGAATGAAGTAGTATGGTACTTTATGTTCTGGTTTGTATGGTTAATATTTGTGTAAGAAAAAAGACAACACACATGCATGCATGCACGATGATGATACTATTATTCACATGCCCCAATCTATCTTAGATCCTTGTACGATATATATACATACATATATATGTAACCAACTTCTTATTAATTTCATTAATATTATTTCTTACTTAAATTTCTCAATTAGTTGTATTTAATTTCTTCACACATTTATTTTATTTTAATTATTTATTTCTGTTTCTTTTAGATGACTGAGTCGTCACTGAGTAATTGAACAATATTATTAGATGCAATAGTACTTTTGAAATAAATGATATTAGAGTGTGGCTCCTATATTAAGAAAGTGCATGTTGGCTATATATATATCCTAACTCAGTTCGGCAGATATATTTAAAGGAAGAATAATCAATGACAATTTGCTATTCAATTAGTGGACTAGTTTTTTTTACTCTTTTAAATAAGAATAAATTACAAAAAAAAAAAAAAAAAATTCAATCTTGTGTAATTACAACAATCCCTTAACTATTAATCTTCTTACACGTTAATTATTATGGTGGCAAATTCAGTGGAATCTTCTAGATTACGTGGAATATTCTTCAGTTTGTACCTGTTTTACGTCATTCAAGCCCCACATTTTGAAAAAAAGATGATCATAGAATGTGTCTCTTGGCTTGTAAATATCAGATTGTGGTGCATCGAAACTGCACTTTTGCACAAAACGAGTACAAAGTAAAGAACATTTCACGAAATCTAGAAGATTTTGTTGAATTTGACACCGTAAAGTTCAACGTGTAAGAAAATTCATACTTAAAAGGTGACGGTTGTAATTACTCAACCAAGAGTTTTTTTGTAATTTAATCATATTTCAGAGGTGTGGTTGTAATTAAGGAAAGTGAAAGGTCATTTGTCTTGAATATTGAGTTCCACTAGGTTTAAAGCTGGTAATAAGTAATTATTAATTAATAATAAAATTTCTCTTAATGCATGGTAAAGAATATTGCAGAGAACAAACATTTTATTTATCTCGATCGAAATAATACGCGAAAGACTGACACAAAAATTGTTTTGACTTTTGAACACTAAAAAAGCAAATGAATATATTCTATATACACTATGTTTTTATATGCATCATCAATTTCAATAAACAACAATTATTATATATATATAGGACCATTTAAATTTGTGCACACTACTATAGTTGACAACAAGCTCTACGTGTTCATAATAATGCTGCATGATTTGCAAATTCGAGATATATATACATACATATATATAACAAAGTAAAAACGCGTTTTAGATGTATATATATATTATTAAAACTAATTAAATCATTTTTTTATTTATATATATTGCAATATTATTACATCAAATATAACACGATAAATATTAGAGATTAAATTCTGAGCGAATCAGCCGATTACATAAATTGGATTTCACTACTAATCTTTTGACACGTGGCACTTTTAAATCTTAACTCTTAATGAATCACGCTGATTATAATTAGGATTAATGGGGTAATAGGTTCTGCTGGTTATTCTTTTTTTTTCAATTATTAGAATCCTAATTATATTTTTATTTAAACTATCCACGTGTCAATCATCCTATGACATCCGATTTTCCTATTAAAACAGATCATCTAGTCTAAATTTGCACAGTAAATATATCTGAAGTTTGAATGCTCACCCGATGATTACGGCCATTATACAACAAAAATCTGATTTTTTTTTTTAATATTAAAATAAATAAATATATATATTATACTATGATCTGATCAGTGGACTGTGTCAGCACATGATCGAAGGTCAAAGTCAACAGCTGTTTTTATTATTTATTAATACTAATTGTTTTATCATAAAATTAAATAAAAAATATTTGATTTTTAGAAAAGGTTTTAACGCGTCAAAGACAAATGAAGACAAAAGGCAGGTCTGGGACAAAAAAATCAGCCTCGTTTTGCGTGCGATCCTCTCTAAAATATATTTATTCTTTTCAGTGGCTCCCCTTTTTTAACTCTATATTTTTTGGTCCCCTCAATTTCATTTACCACTATTTCACTCCTACAATTCTAAACAAAAGGGGGTAGGAAAAGTTAATTATTATATATATTTAAAATATTATTTTAAATCAGATTTAATATTTTTTTTTTTGTTAAGACATAAACACATGGATGCCTAGAATAATTGCACTGGGTTAAAAATGACGAAAATCAATTACAACAAGCTTAGTAATGGGCCTGTAAAAAAGTGGACCGTTTCAATTAAATATAATGGGCTCATAAAAATTATATAGCCCATTACATATTTTAAGAATAAAATCAAGAAAATAAAATAGTAATGGGCCAACTTCACCTAAAAAGAATGTGAAAGATCCATTTTTAAATCAGCCTCCATCAATATCATATATTAATAGTTATTATTCGAAAATTTGGAAATGCAAATATTTATTTTCCTACTAAAAACTGAATAGGTATCGAGCTTGTTCGACAAGCAATCGAGTCAGATTCGAACGGGTTTTTAAAAAAGTGAGGACAATGATTTGAGAACAAACACATGTTGCAGTTATTTGGGACAACATGATTTCTGTTGGATCTGTTTTGCTCACCGTTTAAGTTATCTCACGGACTAATTAGGCACTCTTTCTTAATCCCAATTTAGTTACCAATTAAGAAAGACAATCAATCAATTGATATGATGCATTTACTCACACTTACTATCATAATTCTTTTTTTCTTTTTTTTTTAATTTAATTGTTTTATCTTGTAAATGATTTATTTAATTATTTAATTAAATAGATAGCTAATAGCCAAAGATTATGTAACCACTGTGAACTATAGAAATGCTTTATGGTGTGTATTTGAGCACATGGTAGCCACTATGGAAATTGATGGAGTGTGGACCCCACACATTCCTCTTTTCTGATACATTTCTAATAGTTTCTGCACTTTTTTTTTTTTTTTGAAACTGTCAAATTTATTTAATAATTAAATTGGAGTTGCCCCATGTGGGTTTGCTGCTACTTTTTGAATGAATCAGACCACTATTTCTGGTTTTCCACTTAGGTAATATTATATGCTTATTTAGATGTAATGATTAAGATTATCTCATCCCAAATGGTGGATTAAGGACTTGTTTAGCTTTTTTTTTAATTAAAACTAGGTTCTGTAGCCATGTTGTAGTGTAAAATTTTGAAAATGATTTTTTTTTTTTTAATTGAGAGAGAAAAATATTTACTTAATTATTAAAAAAAAAGAAAAAAAAAAGGCAGATGGGTGTGGAGCATGTGTTTTCTGGTGTTGGTGCACATGAAAGTATTGAGACACAATTCAATGGCACTGTCTCTCTGTGTAACTGTGTAACCAAATGTGTGCTCTGCTCTGTTTTTTCTCTCACTTTAACCATTATTATTCCATTTTTCTTTTCTTCTGCATGCTCCTTTTCTTTTTTTTTTTATCATAAATTCAATTTATTTATATTTCCTTTTAATTTTTTATTTTTATTTAGCAGACCCATAAAATCCAATATGGCAATGAAAGAAATCCACATCAATTCGAATTAAAATCGGCACAGAGTATTTGTCGTACAAAGACCATACATACATACATACATACATCACAGATGTGTCAGCATGTACATATGAAATTTTAATTTATCAAATCAAATTAAATAAATTTTCGAAACAATTAATTAAAGTAAGCAAAATGACAGTGGTAGAAGAAGATGAAACGAGAAAAGTCAACTTGTACATGGAAAAAAGATGCATGTAATAAATTTTGTAACTACAAAATATCAATGCAATACAAAAATTATTTAAAGTTGTAAGAAAAAGAAAATAATTATAATTGTAGAATTAGGAATTTATATATTCATTCATGTTCCAATAATAATAACATGCAGAACGACGTCGTTTTCATAGATCATGTTACTCTGTACTTTAGTGGGCTTATGATAAGGTATGGGCAGTAAAAACTGATTCTTAACTGACTCCCCATCTTCACAAACCTTGTCATTATTATACCAATCCCAAGAACCAAACTCAGATCCTCCTTTTTCATTTTTTTCTTTTTTGTCAAAATAATAATTTAATTTCATAATAGAACGCCTAGAGAGAGAGTATAGAGAGAGAAACAATTAATAATAATGAAATGGATGCATTATTCAATAGTAATTCCAAAAGTAACAAACCACATGCAAGCATTTAGCTTCCTTTATATCACAACCTATATTTAATAGACAATAATAGGTACTGTTTTAGTCCAATTGGAGTTATGTGAAACACCATTTCTGTACAGTAAAATTAAATTAAAATAAAGGGCAAAGATTCGAAACTCAATTATTCTTAAAGCAACACCCTATTGCAAAATTAAATACAATTAAAAAAAGTTAGCACCACGTGAATAAAGAAGATTGTGACCTGGATTCATTGCACCTAATTAATTAATCCCACATTATTTCATCATAAATCCTAATTATCCAACTTATGAGATAATATATATTAATCTTACTAGTTACATCACCAGAAACTCTTTTTTTTTTTTTTTTTGAAAAATTAAAAATAAAATATAATTCACAATAGGATATTCATAAGATGGGAGAATATCTGAATCTCCAAAAGAAAAAGAAAAAGAAAAAGAAAAAACCCATATTTGATAGGGAGAATTTAGCTTGAGCTATAGCTGATTAAGCCCACCAAGAGCCATTGTGGAGCCAGTTGAAGATGAGCCGGAAACAGAACGCGGCTCGGCTAACGCACTCATGGTTCGTACCTGAGACAAACAGCTTATTATTATTATTTTTATTATTATTATTATTATTATTATAAAACAATTACAAAGTAAATTGATGTGAAAAGGACATCAACATAAATATATACCAGCATTTTGAGGGCGGCGATATAATCGGTGGCCTCCTCCAAAACCACCGGCAACGGCTGTTTCCGGCAACCGGGAACCAACCTACCGAGAACGCGCGCTTTGCGCTGGAACGCCGGCAAACACTTGGATTTCAACCTGAGAACGCTCACCTTCGATTTCTTCTGCGCGCGGCAGCTGCCGGCGGTGATTGACGTCATCACCCTACGGTGTCGTTTCGCCGTGTTGTTTTTCTTCATGAACTTCAGTTTGAGCCGGCTCGTGAGTATAGCTCGGCTCCACCTCGACCGTCCCTTCGCCGTCGCGGCTAATACTCTGTAAGCGGCGTCGTGCACGCGTTTCGGAGCCGAAGTCTGAGCTCCGCCGCTGAGCCGGACTTGCTGCAGCGCGTGGAGGAGTTTCGATGAGTAGATTTGCTGCTGAGCGTCGGATTTCCACTGGATCGTCGGATTGATTTCTGTAATTTCTGACTGATTTTGTGTTTGGTGCTGGATTTTCTTCCTCTTTCTTCTTCTCGTGGATGATCTATCGGAATCTACTAGCGCCGGATTTGACGATAACAGTGATGAAATCATCTCTTCCTGATTCCGATTCCTTATCGAAGAACCGATTTCAAATTATGGAGCTGCAGATTCAATCGAGCGTATCGTAACGGATTAGAATCAGAAGAAATCCGGAGTAGATTCAAAGATGATACCAAATAAAGTAACACAAAATTAAAGCCTAAATACACTACTAATTACCATCAAACTGCAATAAATACTGATTAAACTCGAGATAATCATCAAAATTCCAGCAAATAAGCATGAACGAGATAAATCTGAATACAAGGAAAAACATCGGAAATAAAGGAAAAAAAATTCGTCAAACGGATCACCTTCTGAAGAAGAAATTCCTCTGGTGCGCTTACAAATGATTCTCCGGCGAAATTCAGGGGCATATATAAACCTATATATGTATGTATATATAAAAGCAAAATGGAAATGGAGTTTTTGATGGATTGGTTCTTCGGGTTGTTGAAGGAAGGGGGGTGATGGAGTAGAAATGGTGGAAGGGTGGGAATGAAGGAGGTTTTAAAGGGAATCGCCGGGTCACATGCGGAGGATCCGAAACCGGACCCATGATCCGGACCCGAACCAAACACTAATATTTATAGTTTTAATCGGCAGTGTGCGGTGTTTATTGGGATTTATGGAGTAGTTGATTTCTAATTCAGATTTATTACTCGTAATTAATTCGAACAGTAATTTTTTTAAAGTAAATTTGGGTTTTTAGGTATGAAAATTAAATTTTTATATTTTGGACACTATGTTCTTAAACTAATATATTTTGAATGCGACAACATGAAATTGGGCGGTTGGGGCCTTTGGGCCATGTGGTGAATATGGGCCCGCATAGTTGGCCCGGCCCCATTTTCATGTGCAATCTCTCACTCACTTATTATGACTTCATTCTTTTTTAAATTGTTATCCCTTTTGCTTTTCTCACTTATTTATTTATTTATTTATTTTAACCTCTTGAAAGAAAGCACATTTGCTTGTTTAAATTTGGGCTAAATACAGTTTGCACCCTTAAATTATAAGGGTGGTAACACTTACCCCCTTAAAGTTACAAATGTAACACTTACCCCTTATTAATGAATTTAAAGATATAACTTTGACTTTGAATGATGTGGCATTTTTTCTTCCCAGAATTGTTGTTCCCATGGAT